GTTCTCTCAGTCAATGCGTCGTCGATTTTGGAAAGCAACCGTTTTGTGATGAATGTGTGAGTGCTGACCATGTGTTGCGTCCATTGCTGCAATGGAAGCGCACTGACCCCCGTTGGCGAATCTGTCATACAATGAAACCACTGGAACCGGCTCCCGTTCTGGTGGAGGAGACTTATTGGATAGCGGAAGATAAAATGTTTATTGTGTTGTACATTTTGACTATAGTTTTAAGATGTATTGTATCGTGAACAAGAATCATCGGCTCTTTAAATTAACGACAGCCTTATCAAATAAATTAAAAAACAAAAAAAAAATAAGTTGGAAGGGGTTTCTAGGGAAATTTAAAGGATCCAGGATTGAAAAACCCGAGGATTGTAAGACTTAAAACTAGCTTAATATTGATATGACTAGAAAAATAATGAAACTTGGAGACAATCCCTAGAGTTTTTAAAGGTTCTGGCACTCTAGATAAGTTATTTATACACATGTTGTATTTGTATACAAATTCATAAAATACTGATGACATACGCCGAAGTATGACTGCAAGTTCAGTTTCGGTTAAACGATGATCAACGTAGTAATCGAAAAATATTTAAAGTACATAAGCGATTCAGTCAAGGGTCGTTTGGGGGTGGTCTGGTTTTGATCCCGAGTCATTTTGTTAGTCACTAGAAATAACCCAGATTGCTTGGTTATCCATTTGTATGTCTCTTTTCATACCTTGAAAAGTGGCAAGTTTCAATGCAAGTATTTTGGTAAAGGGTCACGTGAGGGCGGTCTGGGGTTTTCATCATTTCATTGCATTTTCTTGTACTTTCAATTGCTCAAAGAATGGCCTGCTCGTTTTTGCCCGTTTAGAAGTTATTGGTACTGGAAGTTGGGTAATTTTCAACCAAAAAATGTAAATAACTTTTCAAATTTTAATGATAGCAATTTGCAGTCTTCTGAAAAGATATGTAATTTGATATTTCTAGCATCTTTGTAGAACATGTCAAACATGTAAAAATATTGTAGAAAAAGCTACAGATACAAAATTGATTTTAACGATGTCTCCACAAAAAAACCTTTATATCTCAGCAGTTATAAGAACTGAAAAGTTATAGTCTTCAGCAAAGTTAATCACAGTAATGTTTTCTACAGCTTTGCCGAACACAATTATTCTTTATCTCATCATTTAAAAAAAAATAGATTTTGCATCTCACTTTTAGGTCGGTTAATCTTTAATTTTCTTTTACCATAAGAAGGAGTGTTGTAACTTGAGAAACTTCTCAGAAGACATTTAGTACCTTTAATCAACCATTTAAGCGTAAATAAAAAAGCGACACCCTTGGCACCACTGTGCGATGGTGATAATGGATTTCTAATATTTTATTTAATAGTAATAGATTAATTTAAAAAAATGTTGTCAACAAAGGTTTGAGCCATCTCGCGCGAATAACGGATATAGAGGACTGAATTTAACATTTGATAAACAAACAGAAATGCAATTTTGAAGCTTGTTTGGAAGAAACCTTGAGTTAGATGTAAGTTTTCTGGCAAATGTTGGGAGTTCGTGAGCATTCCTGACATTGCTGAAAATTATAATAGCATCAGATTGCGGGGTGTAATAGGATACTTTGTTGATTGTTCATTAACTCTTGATCGTTTTTAACAATTATGAATATTTTAGGTGGACAAAAAAGCGAACTAAGAGGTGGACGCCTGAGATTTTCCACATTTGTATCGCTGTGAAGCAACTGAAAACTCTAGAGGGAATTTATGTCTATAACAGCAACCAGATCGATTCTGTTTGCTAACCTGGTTAAAATGTCATATAATTATCTTAAAGATAAATCGTCCAACTCAAATATTCATCCAACCGGTGGGATGTAAGATTCGCTTACAATTATGTGGGATTCATCATCAGAGGATGTAAGTGGAGACCGCATGAACCGAGGATGCGATATACCTAGCTGCGGTCCAATGCAAGAAAATTGGAGACCGAAAAATGTAGAGTGTATTAATGAGTGAAATGAATTATGTCGAGAAAAATAGGAAAAAGGTTGCCGATTGGACTCGAACCACGAACGTTGCTCTCTCCATGCTTCTGAATCTGGGTACCCTAAAAGCAAACCCAAAGCGCTCATATCCTCTCATACTCGACTTTGTATGCTTTTTCTGCTGGAGAGATTCGAGGCAAGTGTGTGCGTCGTTCTACAATGCTATAAATAAAAAGCTTACTGGTATAGTCGAAAACGTAGATAAAACACGACATAAAACAGACAAAAAACCATTACATCGCTTGCAAGGTCAAGTTCTAACATTCGCTGCATGGAAGTGGAACTAACATTCATTGTAATAAATTTTCGGTTTGCGTGCAGCAATTCGGTTGAAACTGGTGCAAAACTGGGTTGGAACTGAACAAAAACAAAAACGACAGAAGGTTATCTGGCACCTTGTCATGGGTTTGGGTATACCCTTCTTTGTACGACGGGTGAAAAGGCAGTCTAAGAAATGCTCAAACTTCATACAGATTTGACCACTGCAGCCCAATCTGATACTGATTGTCTCTGAATACTTGATCAGCCAGCAACCAAGGATCAATAAATGTTGATGCTCATACTGAAAAGATAGAGTACTTTGAAACTTCATGGGGTGACAAAAATATCACAGTGACTTATTTTGTATTGTGTTCACACGATTTTTTGATCGATTCTTATTCAAGCCGTTACACTTGGGACCAGATACTGGAATCCCAATTCACTTTTAAACGTAAACATTTCGTAAATGTTTTTGTCTGTAAAAACACCACCGCATTCACACACCGTCCCGAAGTTTTGGTAACGTGTGGGAGTAGATCTAAAGCCTTTCCCTTATCGAGTTGCTCGTTTACAGGCATGTAGATTGTTATGCTTCCCGAGATCCATTCCCCATTGTTGTCTGCCAACAGACGATGCCAATATTGATGCCCTTCGGTTGAAGATGTGTGTTCCATGATTACGTATCGATAATTAATTTGATCACGGATAATGGTCATCTACTCCCTTTCGATGCAGTAGTTCGAACGTCGTCGTCGCTGCCATCGTTGATTTTACCAGGCGAAAATCCAATTTGAAGCCATGGATGTCCGGCCATTGGAAGGGTTCGATGACGCTTAAGACAACATCAGCTAAGGGTCCGATAGTTGTTGTAGCATAGTTTACACGAGACTGATTGTAACGTAATTTCGTTACGGACAGGCTGAGGCAATGGCTAAGAATGTAGGTGTTTGTTGAGGTAGGTAAGCTTTAGGCATGTTCAATACATTTACCGCTCATTTCAAGAAGAGGCGATGGTGTGAAAATGCTGTTAAGGTGATTTTTCAACCTGCCACGTTAGCCCATCTTACTTCTACAGAAAGAGCACATCTTCTTCAGATGCACTCAGAAGAAGGTACTTATATTTCTATGCCTTAAGCCCTTGAAATGAATGTATTGAGAATTGCTTCTCTCCAAGATGAATGATGAACCATTTTCTCTTTTCTACAAAATGCATTCCCACTGCGCCAAGTAGATAGCAGTAGAGCGAAGCGAAGCAATAGGAAGATACATCAGCAGCTGTTGGTAGAATAGCTTCCTGCCAGTCAGTGCAAACGCGTGATGCATTGGGGAGGTAAACATATTACATAAACTTAGCATCTAACTCACCCCCATTCCATCATCCAAATCAAGTTTTCATATGCTTTGCCGTGTGAAATGCGCGCTTTTTCCGTGCTTCTCTTCTTCCGTAGGTACCTATACACGAAGTACGGATTCCAAATGGATGCCACACATATCTACAATGTTTTTTTCTTCTTTTTGTTGTGCTCATAAAGTGGAAGAAAAACTTTTCCCTACTTTCCAAAAGTAGATATGTCGCGTGTGAGTAACGAATGAAGACGTTCAAACGAAAACTTTCCTATTCGTTTTGTTGTGAGGTGTTTAAAAATATTCAAGTTGCAACGATGCTGTTATCTAGAAAATGTCATAATGTCTCATTAAAACTAATAGAGACCCGGGAAAGGGAATCATTCAGCCAGTTCTCAAAAGAGCCCAGGAGAGGGTGCATGACGTTGGGCGTAAACACGATAGGAATTGTTGGTTAATCGGCTTACCTCCTTCGATACGTGGGCAGTGGAGCATCCGTGCCGACTCCAACACTGTTGGGGGGGGGGGGGGGGGGCAGTTGATTCGTTACCGGCTACTGATGTTGTATTTGTCGGTAGTGAGGTTGCGGGGAAACCAGAGGTTCCTATGAAGGTAGTTTCCTTCTCCTTCCAGTGGTATTTCTCCCAAGTGGGACACTTAATAACACTCGCGGGTTGGGTAGAGCACAATTAGCAAAAACTACATTTATTCCACAAATAAACACAATTTACTTTTTACAAACAAACTTAATGCTAACAATTTAATACTCTTCGTCCCCGATGGGAGCATCGACCGTTTCCAACGGCTACCGAAACCAACTGATTGCGCTATCCCCGATCAGATGGTCATCGGTTGACCCGTGGTCGCTCAGCCCAATTCTCCCGCTCGCGTTCCAGGAAAACTACCTACGTTCGGCGTTTCGAACAGTTATCCACTCGCCTGGACATCTCATCTGCCGCTCTCGATGGCGTCCGACCGTAGGTATGTGATGATGTGATTGCAGCTATCCTTTACGGGTGGAGACCGGACAATAGCCACACTCCGTCTCGTAGCGTATCGTCTTTGTTCACTACAGATCAGCTGTAGCAGCGACGGTAATAAAGATCCAGGGTTGAAGCTATCTGGGTGGTTCAGTCTCGCACATCCTCACCCACCCAGAAATTCGCAAATTTCTGAAAAGAAATAAGAAATCCTCTTCGACGGGATGGGAGTTTGGAAAAGGTATAGGATCTGGTTTTACGGCAACATTGCATCGGATTCATTTTCATCGTGGCTGTTTGAAAGTGGCAGAATGCAAATTTTCTCCACCGGACGTTTAAGTTCTCCAGTGGCAGTCTTTAACGTTACAACTCTTACTACGGTATCTGCTCCCGGGTGTACAGCGACGATTCTTCCCATTTTCCAACGCATAGGCGGAAGGTTATCCTCCTTGATGACGACGAGCTTGCCTATCTCCACATGAACTGCCGGTTTCCATCGCTTGGTCCTAGCTTGCAGTTGACTCAGGTATTCGCGGCGCCACCTGATCCAAAAGTGCTGCAATTTTTGTTGCATCAGCTGGAAACGGTTCAGTCGATTCGGTGCGATTGACGTGAATTCAGGATCGGGAAGGGCCTGCAGTGAAGAACCGACCAAAAAATGTGCTGGTGTCAAAGGTTCCAAATCGTTTGGATCATCCGACATCGATGTCAACGGACGGGAATTCAGACAGGCCTCAACCTGTGTAAGTAGAGTGGAGAAATCTTCCGATGACGCTGGGGTCTCTCCTATCACCTTGATGAGATGGTTCTTAGCCGACCGGACTGCAGCCTCCCAGAGTCCTCCGAAATGTGGCGCGCTAGGTGGGTTAAAGTGCCACTGAATTCCGTCCTTAGCCAGTTCACTCGTGACTCGGTCACGATGGGTACGATCGCTCAGCAAACTGTATAATTCTGCTAGCTTGTTCCGGGCACCAACGAAGTTCGTACCGTTGTCGGAATAGATGTCCGAACACTTTCCTCTCCGTGAAACGAACCGTCGCAAGGCTTGCAGAAAGCGATCCGTTGAAAGATCGGATACCAGTTCCAGATGTACCGCCTTGGTACAGAGGCAAATGAACACCGATACGTAGGCTTTCACTGCAGCTCGTCTGGGGACTGGTCGGATGTAGATAGGGCCAAAGTAGTCTACGCCTGTTTTCGTGAACGGACGTGAAATTGTGACTCGGGATGACGGCAATTCACCCATGAACTGCTGCATTGTAGATGGTTTCGTTCGGAAGCATTTCACACAACGGTGAACTACCTCCCTTGCTACATTTCTTCCACCGAGTGGCCAGAATTGCAACCGGACTGCTCCCAGTAGCAGTTGTGGGCCAGCATGCAGTAATCGCTCGTGAAAATAACGGAGAATCAACCGAGTTAACTGATGCCGTGCTGGTAGAACTACAGGGTGCTTGGTGCTCTCCAATTCTTCGGAATTCTTCAGTCGACCTCCTATTCTGATTAGTCCATCCTTGCAGATGAACGGATGAAACCACCTCAACGGTGACTTCCTCGATACAAACTCTCCCTTTGATAAAGCCTTCCATTCTTCTGCGAAGACTTCTCTTTGGACGTTCCGGAGCACAGCGTTTTCAGCAGCCTTCAGTTCTGCAGTAGTTAGGAATTCGTTTGCGGGACGACTTGCTGTTGGTATTCGTAGGAGTTTCATGAGTCGGAGCCAGTATGCCGTTCGTCGAACCAGGTCAGAGTACGATCCAAACTTGCTGAGGTACATCTCGTTGAATTCCGCTACGGCTGATACGGTACACGCAACTACGGTGCGACGCCTTTCTTCCTCTCCTGCTTCTGGGTTTTCTTCGACAGCACCAGGCCATGCTTCTCGAGTTTCCTTCAGCCAATTCGGACCTTCCCACCAAAGTTCATTGTCGACGATGTCTTCGGGTGACACTCCACGCGATATTAGGTCCGCTGGGTTGTCTCTACCAGGCACGTGTCTCCATTGCCATCCCTCCGTCAGCGTTTGAATTTTTGCCACCCTGTTGGCGACGAACGTGGTCCATGTTGCTGGCGTAGATTCGATCCAACGTAGCACACATGTTGAATCTGTCCAGAAGAAAGTCTGAACCGCTAACCGAGTAGAATCCTTGACCTTTTCGTATAGCTGGGACGATAAGAGCGCACCACAGAGCTCTAATCGTGGGATAGACTGGCAACGGAGTGGAGCCACCTTGGATCGGGACGATAAGAGTCGAACCTTGATTGTTCCGCTGGAATCCTGACTTCGTATGTAGACGCAACCACCATACGCCTTATTCGAAGCGTCTGAAAAGCAGTGTATTTCCAATAGTACTGCCTTGGGAATGATGACACAGCGATCGACTCATTCAACAATGGGAGTTTTTCATGAAATTTCCGCCAGTTCTCACCCACCATTGAAGGTACTGGTTGATCCCAGTCCAACCGATTGCCATTATCGTCTTGCAACGTCCAGAGCTGTTGCATAAATATCTTGGCTGACGAAGTCGTGGCACCAATCAAGCCAAGTGGGTCGAATAGCGTAGCGATCAGTGACAGTATTCGACGTTTCGTCAACGGAACATCAGTTTCTAACGGAGGAACTGTGAACTGGAATCGGAGGGTATCTGCAATGGGTATCCACGTTAGTCCTAACGTTTTAACGGATTGATCAGAATCAAGGTTGATTCCTTTAGGGTCTCGAAGAGCCAGGTTTTCTTTGGGTACGCCTTCCAGAACTTCGGGAACATTGCAAGCCCACTTTCGGAGCTTGAAACCACCACACAGCATCATCTCGGTCAACTGGTTTCTGAGACTGATAGCTGCATCCACCTCATCCGTACCGGTGATGACGTCATCCATATAGACGTCCTCACGAATTGCTCTTGCCGCGAGCGGAAATCGATCTTCTTCGTCAGCAGCCAGCTGTCGGAGAGTTCGTGTTGCCAGGAATGGTGCGGATTTGGTTCCATACGTTACGGTGTTCAGTTCGTACACTGCGACTTCCTCGTCCGGAGAAAAGCGAAATAATATGGACTGGAGTGGTCGATCCTTGAGCCACGTAAGGATTTGTCGGAACATCTTCTCGACGTCCGATACGAGGAGAATCTGCTTCGTCCGACTGCGTAGGATAATTGACCTCAAATCTTCCTGCACAACTGGCCCTACCAGAAGCACATCATTTAAGGACACTCCGGATGACGTCTTGCACGAAGCGTCGAAGACCACTCTGACCTTGGTGGTGGTACTAGCCTCCTTGACCACCGGATGATGGGGTAGAAAGCACCGTTTGACCTGTTCCTCTGTAGATTCTTCGACCTTGCGCATGTGTCCCAATTTCAGGTAATCGTCCATGAAAGCGACGTATTGTTCCCGCAAGTTGGCATCCCTTGCCAACCTCCGTTCCGTTCCGAGAAGACGCCGGAATGCGATGTCCCGTGACTCGCCCAGATTTGGAAGAACGTCTTCGTTTTTGGGTAAGGGAACAGTGTAACGGCCTTCTGGATCTCTTTGAACTCCACGTTGAAATAATTCTTCACACTTCTTTTCCTCCAGAGAATAGGCGTCCGTGAATTCCACCTCCTCGCACGACCAGAAACGTGCCATCAACTTTTCCAAGTCCTCGGACGTTGAGAAATGGCAGTTGGCTTGTAGGGAATTGATAGGAGTTGAACAGCCACCACATACTACCCAACCGAACACCGAGTCTGTAAGGCTTGGTAGATGTTTGCCGATTGTAATCCTTCGCCCCGATTCGAAGAATTCGAAGAAAGCCTCGATGCCTAGCACAATGTCAACTTCCTTGGACGTGAAGAATGCAGGATCTGCTAGCTCAATACTGTTCGGTAGAATCCACCCTTCCGTGTTTATTGAGGCTGTAGGGAGATTCGCAGTTACCTTGGGCAGCACTAGGAACCTCATATCTCGCGAGAAATCCGAGACTCGCGAACGTATGACCGCTTGGACTGTATGCTTGACCTTGGTGGCCCCTTGTCCTATACCAAGGACCGAGACGTCGACCTTACTCCTGATGACCTTCATCCTTTGGGTTAACCGTTCCGATACGAAGTTGCTCTCTGAACCGGAATCGAGAAGAGCACGGGCGTGGTACCTTGAACCAGCGTCGTCCTCGACGATGACTACCGCTGTCGCTAATAGGACTTGCGACGTGAGTTGATTAGCCGTACCGCATACCGAAACATCAGTGGCTGCCACGTTAGCCACTTGGATTGTATTGGAACCTGAGGAGCCTTGGGAATCCTTGGAATTTGAAGGATGGTTGCCCCCAGCAACCGCTGCGACCGTTGCAGTGTTATCCTTCTCCGGCTTGAAACAAACCAGGGTGTGGTGACGGCTCTTGCAGATCCGACAGGAAAATTTGGATTGGCAATCCTTCGCCTGATGCCCCGATCGGAAGCAATTCCGGCAAAGTCCATGGGATTTCAGCAAGGAATCCCGATCCGCCACAGAAAGTTTTTGGAATACGGAACATTGGTATAGAAGGTGGTTGTCCTTACAAGCCACACATCTTCCTCCTGACGATTGAACCGAATTGTAGCTGGACTTGATTGCTTTCGGTTTCGGTGGTGGTTGTTGCTGATGAATGACCTTGGTGTCCGTCTGCCTAGACGGAAGGGATTCCAGTACTTGGATTCGCTGACGCAGAAATTCGGTGAGGTCTGTCAGTAAATCCATCTCCTTGTTGGCTGAATATTCTTCCCATGCTCGACGAGTTGATGGATCCAGTCGCATCGTGAGCAGATTCACCAAGAGGAGATTCTTGTACTCAGCAGGTTCCACGATTTGATCAAGCGTTTGGACGACACGGTCAAAACCTTCCACCAGAGTACGCAACTCAACAACAGATTCCTTGGAGAGTGTCGGAAGCTTGAAGAAAGATTGGACCTGCTTCTTCTTCAGCAGTTTGTTGTTGTTGTACCTTTTTACCAGCGTATCCCAAGCGATCTGGTAATTGGCCTTGGTAATTTTCAAGGGATCGATGAGGCTTTTTGGTTCACCTTGAAGACACCCTTTCAAATAATGAAATTTCTCCACCTCTGGTAAATCGGTCCTCCAGTGGATGAGCGAGGTGAACAGGTCTCGGAAGCTCAACCAGTCATCGATGTCACCGTTGAATGATTGGAGCTTGATCTGCGGTAATCGGACATGACCGACAGCACCTGACATTGATTGTTCATGGGCGGACTGTTCCAACTCAGAAGAAACGCGAAGGGCCTTACCTTTGTCCAACAGGAAGGTTTTGGTTTCATAGTAACGATCGCTCAAATGCTTGCGTAGTTTCCCATAATAATTCTCCTCATCCTCGAAGTCTTCATGAGATTTTAGCTCGACCAAATTCTCACTAAATCTCTCCCACAAGTCATCGATCCGCTCCAATCGAACTTCTACCTGTGTACCGGTGGTTTCATCAGAAAACTTCTGAACGAAAGACCAAATATCATCGAACGAAGACTTCAAATCGTCCAATTGAACCCTCAGTTGCTTCAGGGATGACGATCCTTTCCGGGTGGTGGGTGGCATTTTGATGTGATGTCGAGCAATCGGTAAAGAAATTGGAGGTGTAGTATTCCGCGTGTAGCCTCCGCTTCGGCGGACATATACTGCTCGCTATTACTGACCTGGCAAAACAGGTAACTGTTCTGAATCCAAATTCGAACCAAAGTAGCAAAAGGTCCGATGACGTCACATCAATCTTGCCTCGGTAGGGATCACTCAGTTTTAGGTTGAAGTTCACAGAAGAGGAGAATTCGGGGTGTAATATCCAGAGAAACCTAAGCCTCGGCTGGGCATATACTGTGGCAACCTACCTGGAGGTACCAACAGCAGTACCAATCCAAAGTCATGAAAATTCCACACCAAATTGGTATAAATGTTGCCTTGATCGTGGACAACGTGAACTCCAGAACGTGTGTGTGCAGGATGTAGTGCGAAGAGGAATAATGGCTATGTAGCAATCGTATGGCTAGCTTCGGTAGGACATATACCGTGCAACTAACCTGGAGGACTAACAGCTTCACCAACCAAAACGAAAAACCAGTCGAGGATGCAAATTGGGGTTTATCAGCAGACTTGCTCTAACGAGCAGTTCAATTGCAGGGCTTGCGTGGTGTTAATTGAAGAGGATGTACGGGAATTTCATTTAAAAATGGTGTATTTCTGTATGCCTAGCTCGGCAGTGACATATACAATAAAGTTCACTCACCGGGGAGGGAGTAAATGGCCGCTCCCTCTTCTGCCACCGTCCACAGCAATCGTCCTTCAGAAAGCGAAAATCTGGGCTAACGGCTTATCCGGACGCACAACCGTTCCCTCACTGAATCGTCCGTGGTGATCAGCTTGAATGCCTTCCTCAGTCCTCGGTATCACAGTAGATGCTCCGTTCCATGCAACGAATATAAAGGCATGCGTCGAAAGGTTGGCATTAGTATTATGTAAGTCAATGCCTCGGCTAGACATACACCGAACTTATAAATAATTACCTGGACAAAGCAGATATTTCTGCTAATTCGGTGCTCCAGCGAAGCAAGGTATGACCAGGGGTTGATCCAAATTCAGCCAAATTTCTCTGCATGCACTAATGGTCCTCGAAAATCCTCACAGCATTCACAGGTATCCACTATCCGATGCAGTTACAAATTCCAAAATGGGTCCTATCTATCCACTTTCCCCCTCGGCGATGGCGCAATGTGTCCGCGAACAATGCTGGCAATTGTCCCTTATCCACCGGTTTGGTGATGGTGGTCCACCAAAGGCTCCTTGGATCCGCGATGGCGACGTGCCAATTGTATCCTGCCTTGCGATGGCGATTTCGTGCAGGTACGATGGCGCTCACTTGGCACTGTTGGTTCCGGTGTGGCGCAATTCCGTCCAACTGGTCCCCGGGTTAGGAATCCGGCTCGAAGGACCAAAATGTTGTTTAATCGGCTTACCTCCTTCGATACGTGGGCAGTGGAGCATCCGTGCCGACTCCAACACTGTTGGGGGGGGGGGGGGCAGTTGATTCGTTACCGGCTACTGATGTTGTATTTGTCGGTAGTGAGGTTGCGGGGAAACCAGAGGTTCCTATGAAGGTAGTTTCCTTCTCCTTCCAGTGGTATTTCTCCCAAGTGGGACACTTAATAACACTCGCGGGTTGGGTAGAGCACAATTAGCAAAAACTACATTTATTCCACAAATAAACACAATTTACTTTTTACAAACAAACTTAATGCTAACAATTTAATACTCTTCGTCCCCGATGGGAGCATCGACCGTTTCCAACGGCTACCGAAACCAACTGATTGCGCTATCCCCGATCAGATGGTCATCGGTTGACCCGTGGTCGCTCAGCCCAATTCTCCCGCTCGCGTTCCAGGAAAACTACCTACGTTCGGCGTTTCGAACAGTTATCCACTCGCCTGGACATCTCATCTGCCGCTCTCGATGGCGTCCGACCGTAGGTATGTGATGATGTGATTGCAGCTATCCTTTACGGGTGGAGACCGGACAATAGCCACACTCCGTCTCGTAGCGTATCGTCTTTGTTCACTACAGATCAGCTGTAGCAGCGACGGTAATAAAGATCCAGGGTTGAAGCTATCTGGGTGGTTCAGTCTCGCACAGGAATAATTGGCCGGTTTGCATAATGTGCGCTAGGTGGCATAACTAATTTTACACGAGACGTAATCCATATTGAACGTAAATCATGGAACGTAATCAATGATGTTATGTAAAATTAAGGGGGTATTCCCGATCTTTTTTTTCAAAAAATCAAATTTTTTTTTTCACGTTTTTTTGTACTTTAGACTATATACTTTCATCCCCCCAAGCCGTTTTCCGATCAGCGAATTCGGTGTCCAGGCATAGCTGACTAATGGTAAGAACCCCCAAATGGTTTTAACTAAAGTCAAAACTTTAAACGCGTTTTTCTCGAAACCACATTTTTTTTATCGGGCGAAGATTTTTCTCAGAAACTATAAGAGATATTGACTTGAATCTTTGCGCATTTTGTTCCTTATTAAATTCTTTGGAGCTTCTCCCACTTTCAGCCAAAAATATTAACATTTAACATTGTTTGAAGCACCTTAAAGCTGCAAAAAAGCGGGCTAAAAATCGCCTGTTTTTTCATATGGCCGCCATTTTGTTAATTTGCAAGATTTTTTGCTGCCAACGGGAGAAGCTCCAGAGAATCTTATGCAGATTATTAATTTCATCACGAAATCTGTTTCAGATGAGCCGTTCCAGAGAAAAGTCTTCGCCCGTCCAGGCGTTTGCGGCGAACAGGGGTCTGTTTGCCGCCATTTTGTGACGTCAATAATGTCTTTTTTTATGTCGAAAAAAATGTATTTGTAAACTTTAATGTTCAATAAACAAGAATCCCAAAGAGTTAGGCGCATTACTATTCATTTTCCTTGAAAAAAAATTAATTGAAAAACAGGCCGAAAAAAGGCAAAAGATTGGGAATACCCCCTTAAGTGATATCAAACCAAAATATAAGCAAGTCGTCGAAGAGAACGTTTGATCGAATTGATTTTCTCAATTCTTTCAAATGATTATTATGTCAAAATGGCCACTTGCATAGGTCGGTCTCAGGGAACCAAAAATTACATGACTTTTTCGTAGTGTGTAGTTTCTATTTTTATTTTCACGTGAGCTGTTCTTTAAGAGCAACCAAAGTAGCCGTACACAGCAAAAAAATAAGGAATTTTACATGGCATGTAAACAAAAACTATTGTTAAATAACATCGCTTTAAACAATGTTTTTATTTAAAATCTATACTAATAATTAGACATAAATATAAGTCTGTTCCTGTGCGTCGGACAAAACAACTTATTTTGAATCGAAAGCGCATAACTGCTGGATTTGTTACATGGTTGAAGATTCAAATTATAATCCGTGGCTGAGTTTGTGCAATCTGATGTATTTCATCCAGCGATGTAAGCATCCTATTAACCTATTTGTAAACATCGTTATGCGGTGATAAAAAATCTTTGAGGTTGCTTGATGTGACGCTATAAATGTTTTCAACTAAATCAATAGTTTTTAAACTTCAACTTCACTTTTATTCAAAGGCACAATGCACAAAGCAACAAGAAAACAAAAGAATGTCAATATCGATCTACACACCATTATACACCAAGGCAATGGCTACCTTATGAGAATCCTGCCCTGAACATATGGAAAATATCATAAAAATATTATTGTGCCATCATTGTGAAAGATTTAAAAAAAAAAATCACCAGAAAAGCTCAAAATTACCTCTAAATCATCTGGTCATATCTCATCGTCCAAATGGTTTGCCTTTGGAAACACATCAGGAAGACGAGTTTTTCAAAGTGTGGTGAATATTTGAGCCTAAAATATTAAGAAATAAAAAATCCCGCTCATGGTGAAAACATATATTTTTTTTTTTCAATTTGGATACCTGCCGGTAATTAGCCTATTTACTGTAGTTACTATAGAAAACATAATTTGGGTACACCTATAAGATTTTTTTAAATAAAAACCCTTCAAATTGACGTTCTAAGAACACGAATAGCTTATTTGGTTCTGGAGTAATCTCTTCTGAAAGATGAAATTATTTAAAATCTCGAACATCCAGAGTTGTAGCCGAGAAGGATCTAGGCACTTCAGAGCAATATTAAAAAAGGAGTTTGTTCAGAATGCCTAAATAAGCGTTTTGGCCAAGTTTGGCTAAAATCGGTGACATCTACCACAGGTGGTGTACTCACTTGAGCTGGAATGACCCATATATGTGTCGGACACATAGTTCTTATGTGTGCACATAAAATGCATGTGTAACCACACATACTATTCATTTGACTCATAAATTTCTATTACCGGTGTACTAAAGATGTTTCGGCAGCCTTTTCTTCAGTTTGCTATTATTGATTCGACAACATTGTCTATGCAAAACTGCCCAGTTTAGCCCCGGTGTTTTGTAGCGTTGAGCTGGAGTACCTCCAAGTTCCAAAGTATTGCGCATCTTGCACGTTATCACATGTCTCTTTTTTTTTCCTTTGGTTTGTTTTTTTTCCGTCGATCTTGTTTTCCGTGCTGAGCACCAATGCTACCGACGTGCCAGGAAGGCAGCTCCCACACCTGGACCCTACCTATCGACCCATCAACTCATGAACCGGGGACCAATGGCTTTACTTCCCATCCGAAGGAAGGCGTGATCAGAGATGTTATGCCTCAGACTACCGTTATGCCTACACCACCGGCGCCCTTAGAGCGATTTTTATCACATGTCAAATTTCAAAGAATTAAAAGTTGTGATCGAAGGTAAACTCTAGTAAAAATATTTAACCCAAAACACTGGTAAAGAATAAAATCTTGGAGAAAATGAATCCTTAAACATGATATTAGTTATCAAAAAAAAAAAACTCAAGAAATGTCACCTACTTGAATAAAAAAAAAACTACAAGGGAGAACCCTGAAGGGGTTGTACGCAATGGTGACGTAGGCCTAAGTTGTCTTCTATAATATATATTATTTGTTAACTGCTGCAGGAGCTTGTGTTTTGTGCAGGAATAGGGAT